CATGCAACAAAATTTATGTGCCGACTCTGTGCCACAGTGCTGGATGTTGTCTACATATCACAAAATCACTGTCCAGAGCATGTGTGTCTTGGCCTGTCCAGGAAATGTGTGTCTTGGCCTGTCCAGGCTCTCCTCCTCCTGCCACTCTCCTTGGGGGGGAGCAGATGGAGAGGAGCTTATGAGCTTGACAAAATACAAGGTGAGACTGGGAGGGAGAGCTGTCGTGAGAGCAGTCATGGTGGGCAGGGAGCACTCAGCTCCGACCCCATTAGGCTTATGGTATGGAAACTGGAAGAGAGAAAAGGCCCTTTCCCTCCACCTCTGCCCCAGAAACTGAGCACATGGCATCTCAGAGGGTTTAAACACTGGAAGCATCCCAGCTCTCTGCTGCAGCCTCTTTCAAGCCTGGGAAACAACAGGAGGCTGACTGGCTAGTTCAAGGTGTCAGCTGCCTTCCACCAGAGGCCTCTGGAAACCTATAAAGTTTTTTTACCTGCTCCTTCAAAGTTGCCTGGATTCAAAGAAGCAATTTCATAAGAAACAAGTATTAGGGTTTTATAGTTCTTTGTTTTGTTTTGTTTTGCTATGTGGGAACAGAAACTTCCTTCTTATAACATGTAAAATATTTGTCCAGTGCCCACTTTAAGTCAGGCTCTGTGTTAGGTACTTTGTAACATTTTTTTTAATGCTCATTAAAATTTATGAAGTTGATATTAGCATCTTAAAAAAAAAAGAAATAAGAAAAGTAAGTCTCAAAAAAATAAGTATTTTTTTCAAATTTATATACACAACTAGTAAGACATAAAGCTCTGACTGAATAAGCCTAATGTGTTAAATGTACATGGAGTGTTAAAGAAAAGGTAAAATGGAGTTTATTTAGGGAGGGTGCAGATATGTAAAATGGGAAGGGACAGTAAGGTATTCATGAAACAATTTCATCTAAAGATCAGGTTGAAGTAGCAGTCTTCCCAGCCCTGGGTTCGAACAGCTCCTACCCAAGATTAGTGTGCAAAAGGAGATGCTAGGAAAGGTCTTGTATTTACATCCAAAACGAGACAATGGGGCTCATAAAGAGAGAAGGAAAGTGTGGTTTTGTCTGGGGAAAAAAATAAGCATTAAAAAAAGCTGTGAGTGTGTGTGTGTGGAGAGAGAGAGAGAGAGAGAGAGAGAGAGAGAGAAAAGTAACACTGAATAATAGAATGTGAACCCAAAGTGCCTGCTCACATTCACAGGCACTAAGAGAAAATATCAACAACGCAGGAGCCACAGGGTGCCATTTATAGATAAAAGCTATTTATGAGAATGAGAAGCCTAAGAGTGAGATTATTACTCTTGTTAGGTCCCTCTGGGAAGTAAATTAGGTATTTGAGGGGTATATGCAATTCTTTTAGATCTCTGCATTACATTAACTGCAATGCCAATAATGATATGCTGCCTTTGGTTTCCAAAGGGGGCTTTCTCACCTCTAGGAACTGAGCCCTCCTCTGTGCAAGATGCTGTGCTGGGGCTGCGAGAGAGACAAAGACTCAGTCACACTCTTTTTGGTCTTAAGAAGCTTGCAAGCCAAGGGTGACAATACGGCACATATATAGATGTAGGTATAAACTACAACCCTGGATATATGTGCCAGATAGTCATTAGTCAATAAATGCTATAAGGAATGTGGGAAGGGGGTAGGAGTTGCATTTAATTCACCTTCAGTTAGATATTCATTTATTCATTTGTCCATTCAATAAATATGCATTGAGCATCATTATGACCTTCCATATGCCAAACCCTTCAAATAAAAGGATGGGTAAATCAGGATCCCTAACTTAAAGTCTAATGAAATTGAGTTAGAATGATCAATTTCTGTTGTTAGACCTGGATTATCCGTCTCTAGGACAATCTACCTTGTGACCCAAAACAAATGTTTTATTAGTGACGAAGAAATTTTTAGAACGGAATGTTTCTATGTTTAAAGTTCACTGACTGTCGTTCAGAGTGCAATACTAGATGTTGGCCTTATTAGCACGTTAGTTGGAATTAGCCAGCCAGATTGCTCCTAAAATATATTTCAAAAAATAAATATAACATGATAAAATTTTAGAGCTGAGAAAGAACCAATTATGATCAGATTTACCAGGGTTTTTTTTACACGAGATTATTGATTTCCTTTAAGGGTTTCTAATGATAATAATTAATCATAATACTTTGCAAGCACACCATGAACTAGGTACTATTATTATCTACATCTTACAGATGAAACCAATGAGTGGCAGAGTGGGTAGGTGATTGTGTAATGGCCCGGGACCACACATAGTTAGGGGTAGAGCTGGGAGCTAGACTCCATCCCAAATCTAGCCCATCTAGCTTACTCACTCATGCTCTTTTCTACTCAACTGTGCTATTCCCTTGGGAAATCAGAATCCAACAGTCATTTTTAATATTTAAAAAGACATAGTAGGAATTGTAATTTATTTTTAAGCACTTCATGGTGATGAATGCTGCATGTGTTTGCCCCACACTCAGCTTGGCAATATTAGTAATCTCAAGCAAGTTAGACATACTGGTTAGCAGTTAGAAATATCTCTTTTTAATTTTAATTGTTATATAACAAGTGCCTTTTCAAAATAGGGGATCACCATGCTGGAGAACTAGTATTTTAATCCAAGCCTCTCATTTCTAGATATGACACTGAAATCTAAGGAGTTAGGCCAGTTACTTTGAAGATATACATTTGGGAGCCAAGGGGATGAGGTGCATTGTAGCAGTGATAGAAAAATGAGTTGAGGAGCTCACTAAACTTAAACAAATAAATCAGTTCAACTAGCCAAGAATTTCTTATGGATCAAATTCATATTTGAAGAGCTTGGAACACCATTTCTTTATTCCTAGTGAAAAGTACTTTCAAATAGAGAGTAAATCTTGATGTAGAATTCTATTAACCTTACTTTAAAAACGTCTCTAGTATTAAAAAAAGCAATTCTAACCCTAAGGCATCATTATTATTTAAATATATGGAAGTTGGCAGCTTGCTGAGATGAGAACACAGAATGTAGAGTTAACTAGTAACAGAGGTGAGAAGGTCATTCTTAACTCTTTTTATGATGCCCTGGAACCTACTCCTGTCAGGAAAAAAAAAAAAAAAAAAAGAAGCAAGCTTCTGAAAAGGTAAAGAAGGTAGGCATTGGTCTATTTATGTTTGGGTAACAATCAAACACTTCAGATCACTGCTTTTGACAAGAATTATTTTGGCTTCTCCCCACCCCCATACTCCCCTACACGCCCCTCCCCCATCTGGTGTTCACCAAAGTAAAGATTGTCAATCACTATTCAGAAAATAACAGCTGGAGTGGAGGAGTCCCAGACAGGGGCAAGTATTTTTAAACCTCTGTATCCTCCAAGGCTTATACAACAAAGCCTGGAACAGGTTAAGGGATCAATAAGTGACTGCTGGTTAAAGGGTTTAAGGAAAGAGTAAATAAAGAGCAACTATATCCCCAGAATCATTAAGAATTGTTAGACTCCAAGGAGACAGAGTTGTATCTACATAGAATTTGGTACCGGCCCTTAAGAAGTGTCTAGTGTAGTTTAGTGTAGTTGGACACTAGAAAGGATCACCTCTATTCTATGAAGTTTAACTTCTATGGCATCTTCTATAACGGCACTGTAAGTTCAGGAACAGAGTAGAGGAGGAGACAGAGCTTGGGATACTCCCTTGGTATCAGAGGGCCTAGATGGAGGGGATAAGCAGGAAACCAGATGTGTTAGGGATGGTGGGTGGTGGAAACCATGTTATGTGTGGGAATGGGGGTAGTCACCAGGGTCAGAGGCTATTGGGCAATGTGTTTTGTGCTGGCCAAGCGACCAGTTTATGAAACATGAAAAATCCAGGCCTGGGAATTTAGGCTTAATAGAACAGGAAATCTCTTAAATCCCACTCTCTTTTCCCCCTTGGACCTTAAGTGTAAATATAAATATATCCTTGCAAGAAGACAACAAACATTGCAGCTCAATGTGTACCATCTAAATCATATGTCTCTTTTAGGCTTTTGAAATGCAAACCATGGGCTTGCTTTCCCCTTCACATATTTATTCAGTTCACAAAAGTTTGTGGAGGACCTACTGGAGCTAGAATTCTGTTAGGTACAGGGCGGAGGAGAGGGGGTACAAATATGAATGAACTTGGTCTCTATCCCCCAGCAGTTTATGGCTCTATGGTGGAGACAAACGTGTACACTCAAGTCCTTACAATAGAAGCTAAGAATGTAAACACAGGAACCGTATAGCCTCATTTCCCAGAGGTATTACACGGAGGTGGTTTGGAAAATTAACAAGGTTTTGCAGACAAGTTGGTTTTTAAATGAGATTTAAAACTCTGATGGAGTAAAAACAAATATTTTTAAGGCAAGTGCCAGGGTCAAGGCTCCGGAAACACATGGAATGGAAGATAATGTGGTAATGAACAGTGGTCTGATTTCGCTGGAGCGCAGGATTCCTTAAGGGGTGCAGTGGGGGGCGGGGGGAGGGCGGATTTCGCTGAGTATATGCCTACCACCCAGGCTGGGATCAGGTAGAAGGAAGCCAAGCTGAGACTTTATTCTGCATCTCTAGTCTTTGACTTAAGCATCTTTGGGTCCCTTTAAAAAATTCTCATTCCTAAAGAGAGTTCTAGCAATTGGGGGTGGGGATCATTTCCTAAAGTCAGCGCGTAAGTTAAAGGTCTGCAAAGCTGTCCACGGGTGATTTCTGTCTCGCACCAGAAAAGGAAACGTGTGAGAGGCAGGTAGGGGGAACCCACTTAACAAACGACATCGACCTCGAAACAACACCAGCCCCTGGCGGGACACGCTGCCTGCCAGCCCCGGGAGCGGGACGCCAGCACCCGCCGGAGCTCCGAGCCCCGCACTGGCGGGCAAGGGGGAGAGGAAGAGAGGGAGGTAGGGAGGGAGGGAGGAAGCGCGAGAGGGAGGGAGGAAGAAAGGGAGGGAGGCGGTGTCATGTGATCCGCTTCCCTGCTCCTTTAAGCGTCCACAGCCGGCGGAGCGGCCACAATCACAGCTCCGGGCATTGGGGGAACCCGAGCGGGCTGCGCCGGGGGAATCCGTGCGGGCGCCTTCGGTCCTGGTCCCATCCTTGCCCGGCTCCCGCACCCCTGAAGTTTTGCAGCGCCCAGAAAAGAGGCGGGGGAGGAGGGAGCGTGAGAGGAGAAGGGAGCAAAAGCACACCCATAAACATTTATTTCCAAGAGAAAAGAAAAAGGGGGGCGCAAAAATGGCTGGGGCAATTATAGAAAACATGAGCACCAAGAAGCTATGCATTGTTGGTGGGATTCTGCTCGTGTTCCAAATCATCGCCTTTCTGGTGGGAGGCTTGATTGGTAAGTGCGAGAGCTGCAAACTTTTCCCCCTTTCTCTTTTCGGGCCCCTTCCCTCTTTGCCTCTCGGGCTACTTGTTACAGTATCGCTGCCTTGCTTCTATGATCTAATTAGTCCGGCTATTGTGCTTAAGAAAGCAGAGCTCCATGGGGCTCCGTGGGGCACAATCCAGTCTAGTGGCTAAGAGAAAAGGAGGGGAAAAAGTTTTGGCCTAGTTTCAGTATCCACTTGAAAGGAAGGAGGGGGGTGGCGGGGGTGGGAATCTTAAGCATGGCGACGGATCGCGCGAGGAAGCGCTGGTTACAAAGTTGATTGCTGCTCACCCCCGCTTTTCCCCGCATTCCCCCCTTTTCCTTTCCGTTCCCTCCCAATCGGCTCCGGAGGGCAACGTAATCGACTTTATTAGGAAAAACAGAAGAGTCGGGTAACTGCGCCCCGCGCAAACCCGTTCGTAGCCCTGTTACGGGTCTGTGCTCCTTGCATGTGTAAACGCATTTGGTCGCCTCAGCCAAGAGGCGAGTTGTATTTTGGGTCCCGACCTTCGCGCCTCCGCTTGCTCGCCGCACCCCTACCCAGCCCTCGCCTTGGCTGTCCACAGGTCCGAGCGGAGGGCCGGGAGGCGGGATGGGATGGGGTGCGGTGGGGGAAAGTGCTTGTCTGGCGCTGCGGGAAGTTGGAGAGGTCGGAGAGGAACTGCGTATCCGAAAGGTGTTGCTTTTGGCCTCCTGCCCTCTCTCGAATCTCCCCTCCCCCATTTCCTAGAGCCCCAAGAGCGGGCGAGTATGGGGCTCCTGGTCCTCCTTTGGTGTCTTGGAGAGCTTCCCCCGCCCCCGCCACAGCCCCGCGCAGGTGACAGCTCCCCCGGCCCGGCGACGGCGCCCGCCTAGGGAGATCTCCCCTGGTGTGCACCACCGGGACCTCTTGGAGCTCAACAGCCTTCCGGGTGAAGAAGGTGGTCTCGTGGACCTTCCACTCGAAACACTCCCTCTCGCTGTCTCTCCATCTTCATCCATCCTTCCACCTCTCCGCACAGTCGCGTCCCCTTTCCCCTCGAGATATAGGACATCCCGGCACAAACTTCAGCGCCAACTTTGCAACCTGAGCGGATGGGAGATTTTTTTCTTCTTTACTTCTGGAATTTGTAAAACTTTGCGAACTAGGGAGTCTATGGAGGGGCTTTCTACGGGCTACCCTTTTCGAGAGTCCGCGCGGCGCGGGCGTAGTAGTCGTAGGGATGGGAGCTTGGGCACCTTGAGTCGTGTGCGTGGCGTTTTGTCTCCAGACTTGGGTTAGATGGCAACAAATTAAAGGGAGTCTGGTTCTGCAAACCACTGTAACATCCAGGCTAATTGTTTAAACAAAGGAGAGTGCGCGAAGCTTCACCGAGGAGAGAAATTTCTGGAGGAGATATGGCTTTCTTCGTGTATATATCCACAAAGCAGAAAGGGATTCAGAGTTTTCCAAGTTCATATTCTCAATTTGGGCCAAACGGCTTAATATTTTTATTGAAGGAAAAGTATACTGTCTTCTTTGCTATAGTTCCTGCTAGCAAATACACACACACACATACACACACACACACACACACACACACACACACACACACGGTTGAGCTTTCCTGTTAGCTCCGGTTTGGCTACGTGTTATCTCCATGTTTCCTTGTATTGGATTTTAATACATTCTCTGCTGGGAGCCAAAGGCAGCCTTCCCTGTGCCCTCACAGTGATTATGCAGCGGTTACAATTACACCTCTTGTCTCCCTTGATGAGCAGTTGCAGTTAGATGCCATTGGATCTTGTGTGATTTCAGTGGCAGACCATAATTAAAATTTCTTGCACCTTGTGCTTTCAGAATTAAATTGGCCTATTATCCCTGTCTGACCTTCATCCTCTTTGAGGTTTTTGCACAAGCAGCGAACCATTACACATAGTTCCCTGGTGTTTTGTTGGTGTATGTTTCTTTTTCTTTTCCTAAAGCCGATCTCTTAGCCTTGAAGAACCCATCATCCAGTGTTGTAGGTTTCTTAGGGCACTTCTGGAATTAGTACAATTTCTGTAATCTTAGTACTGGGGAGATGGTCCAAGGGCACTGGTAAGTGGCTGCTGAGTGGCTGCTGGACATTAAAGTTGCTGTAGGATCAAAACGGTTTTGTGTTCAAAGAGGGGTTTGTCTGGGCGTAACTGTTGCCAAGGGTGGTTTTTCCCAGAGAACTTGGTTAGTAACCATACTTGGTAACACTCTCAAAAAGTTAGTGATAGGTTCCAACTGTAATTAGATTCCCTTCAATAAATAAACTGCTTTATTTCCAACTTTCCTTGAAAAAAATGTCTGTGCATAACACTTCTTGGGGAAAATTGTGTAAATTTACTGCTTAGCTCCCCTCTTTCCTCAATTGTCACAGCTTTGTCCCCAGTTCTGGCTGGAAGACTGAAAAAATCAGATCCAGTTCATGTTAAACACTTTGAACAGTGAGTTAGCCTTTATCTAGTCCACTTAGAGATTTTTATTTTTATTTTTTTGCTACTAAATAAATCTAAGAACTTGGGTATGCTATGAGACCTAAATATGGGAAATAAATATCAACAAAAGGTAAGTTGATATTTTTCTACCATACTTCCCTAAATTAGAAAGCAGATGAAATTGAGCAAAGAATAGACCTTCAACAAAGTGGTCTGGGGGAATCAGTTGTTGAAGGCTGTTTGTAGGCTGGAAGGTTGAAGTGTAAAGTTCTGAAACCTCTTCTCCATTCTCCCCAGTGAGAAGGGAATTCCTTCACTGCTCATTTCCACTGATATGTTGGAAGTCAGGTGTCCTGAGTGGAAAGTGTCTTTCTAATATATCTGTAAGAGACCAAGGGAGAAAGTGAAATCTTCATTTTAAATTACTTATAATATATGTTTCTTTTTGATCACTTGTCCTGGATGAAAGGAAACATGGCAGCCTAGGAAGGGGAGCATCTGAATGGCAAAGCTCCTGATTACAAGAGTATAAGTACTACGCACACATATATACAAAACAAACACAAGCAACTACCCCCAAATGATAATGACAAACCATGCACCCCAAGCAGTTAACCAACAGGCTTCTGTTTCCCCATTGGTAGACTGAGTTTAAGGTTCCTTTCAGTTATAAAATTGCATGAAATTTTCAGTACTTAGAAAATTTTATATGACATCTAGACTGATGTTTGGTTGCAGCCTTCTAGAATTGATGGGGAAAATTTAAACATTAGATACAAAAGCAAATGGGAGGGACTGGGTTTTGATTAGCCAGCTTAAATACTGCCTGCCCCGATTGCCTTCTTAGAACCAAATTTTGTATGTGTGTGTGCTTTTGTTTTGTTTGTTTTCTTTGTGCCAGTGTCTATATACTGCTAAATCGTTGATGGGATATTGAAAAAAAAAAAAAAAAACTATAGAAAGCAATATCCTACATGGTAGAATTTGGGGTATTGAAAATTTCACTGAATTATGCCATCTATGATTTTGTAAAAACTTTGAGCCATTATAAAATCTTGAATCTGATTGTTTTCTTATGTATTGACAGGGTTTCTGAAGTAGCTAGCTTCTCTTAATATTTAGAATCATTAAAAAAATTTAAGAACCCCCAAGGGAAAAGAAAATTTTTTAAAGATGTAACTTAATCTTTATCCTCCTTAAAAATAAGCCCGCTGAAAAATTTTTAAAAATAAATTTCTTTTGATTTTATGTTTGGTGAATTTAGTTCATGGAGAGGCAGCTGCAGGGGTGAAAGAAGGAGGGGGTGGAAACCATGCAGCTGACTAAAAATCATGAACTTGAATCCCTGGCCCATTATGTGCAATTTGCTCAGCTTCAAATTAGTCATGTCTGGGGGATATAATGGTTGAAAAAGCAGGTCACTGTACCCACCTGTTCTAAAACTGTTAAGAATATGAAGATCAGGACTGGGTGAATAGAAAATTATTGTATTATTTTAAGCATACCCATTAATGCTAATATTTCAAACTTAAACTACAAATAAGTATCGACAAATTACCCATTATTATTTCTTTAGGAAAGATTACTCTTTCTTTCAAAAGCTCACTATGTGAGCAGTCTTTTTTTTAATGCTGAGCATATTTGTGTATTAACCATATACATACATATATAACCAGTTTTCTCTATTTTTCACGGACTTATATACTGCCTTTCGGTAACGTTGCCCATACTATTGTGTTGTTATTGTTTAAATGGAAACTGTTCGTGGTCTTGATTGTGGTTCATCCAAGCGAGTTTTTATTTCTGCTACTATCGTTTATTTAGAAGTGGCAGGATTTTAAGAAATTAAATACAATTACAGTTATGCAGAGTATATAAGGGTTTGCTTCCCAATACATTAAGCTTTAAGTTTGTTGTATTTATTTTAGAATGTGTTAATAATACCATACTTGTAATTCTGCAATGTTTGGATATCTGGTGAGAATCTTGAATCTTGAGAATTTTTCTGTATTTCAGTTTCCTTTTTATTTTGTAAAATTTTATGTCTGATTAAACCATGTCATTTTTTTTCATTTTTTTTCATTAGAGTGTCTAAATGTGGTTCGTAGGAATACTATACAACCTCAAAAATTTTTGTAGAACTTTTTACAATTGAAATTACATTATTTGACTTTCACGCTGTCATCCAATTGTTCAGTACAGCCTCTCTAGCCTTCTATTGGAACTTTCCCTGCCCTCTGTTAAAAGTGAGAAATATTTCCTTAAGATAATAGTGTGATGTGTGTCTTTGTAAGGTTTTCAAGTCCCTGCCTGGAACCAATGTCTAGACTCAAAGTCTTTCCTACCTAGTTGACATTTTGCAATAACTTGGTTTTTAAATTAAAAAAAAAAAAAAAAAAGATCCAGATAGATTGAGGAAAGATTCTTACCTTATCTTCCTCATAAAGGTGTTTCTATGGAGATTTAGAATTTGAGATTGTATGAAGGTCCTTAGCTTTGAGCTTATGTGCTGAATGTGAAAAATAATTATTAGAGCCTACTGT